TGACTTGAACTTCGTCCTGTTGTAAGTTTGCTATTCTCACAAACATATATGATCAATGAGAAGTGCGCGCTCCAGGAAGACTAAATAATAGAGGATACTACGGGTTAGAGTTTATGTGAAAGTCGTGAAATTCAACAATTCGAAGATTTATGTAGTTTTCATACAAACGACGTCTTGCGAAATATAATGACGAATATCGTAACCTCCTAAAAAAGAGAGCGGAATATGCCTTTTATTTATGAGTTCTCAAACTTCTCACGACCCTCTTGTTCAAGAAGGCTATGACCCTCTTGTTCAAGAAGGCTATGACCCTCTTGTTCAAAAAGGCTATGACCCTCTTGTTCAAGAAGGCTATGACCCTCTTGTTCAAGAAGGCTATGACCCTCTTGTTCAAGAAGGCTATGACCCTCTTGTTCAAGAAGGCTATGACCCTCTTGTTCAAGAAGGCTATGATTTCTCTATGTCCTAGTAGTTTCTTAATTCTCAGTTTTTTTGGTGCTTATTAGAAGGCTATGTTTTGCTCTTAATTGTCCTTTTTTTCCAAAAAAGGCGGCGAGACTACTGTTATTCAACGGACAAAGTGGTTCAATTTTTTTAGAGTACATATCAGCACGATAAAAAAACCCCTTTTTTTTTCGTAGCAAATAATTGAATTTTTGTAAAAAGGACCATATTTTGTTTAAAAATAAATTATATAGACTATTTTTCATAGACATATATTTAGCTATCTTCTAAATTGAAACAAGAACATCTCATTTGTTTTTGTTTTTTTGTTTGGATTTTATTAAAAACCCAAAAATAGATAAATTGGAAATAGTGCGAAATAAGTCAAAGTTCAAACCCTCTCTCTGACAATCTTAATTACATGTACTTTAAAAAATAAAAAAAAGTCCAATATCCTGCACATCCCTATGTGACAGTCTGACAGACTCAGACTGACACCCACAAGTCTCAACTCTCACAAGTCTCAACTTCTCGAGGACTAAATAAGTGTAATGAGTAAAGAATGTACTTTTGATAGAGAGTTAATACTCTACAGACTCTCCCAAATTGAAGGACTACATCATAGAAATATTTGTTGATTGTTCATCGTAAATGGCTTTATAGCGCCTCCTGTGTGTATAGAAGTGGCAGATGCGCTCAAGTATATAGGTTAGTAGGCTTAGTGGCGGCCACCATGCTGATCCATGAGTTTAGAATACCGATGCCCAACACGGTGGAGGAATATCGTGTGGCGCAAAGATACATGATAGCAAAGAAGAGTCTAATTGACAGTCAAAAGGGCGAGGTAGTCAATATGAACAACAAATATATGACCAATTCATCTATCTACACATGCCCCGCAGTACAAGTATTCATTACCAGTATTTCATATGACGACTGATATGGACAGTGTTTATTTGAATAGTTACAATTTGTGCTGCATTTTCAATCTGTTATCTGTGGTATCTCGACTATGACCGATTATAATAGCCGTTTGTTGAAACCGTACATATTCTATTTATATAGATGCGATAGGATATATATATATA